GCTCAATATAATTGAATTTAGACATTAGCACTGTTGATTGCCGGGTCATAGTCTGGATGTTAGAAATTCACACGCAAGGTGTTGAATTCGATTTCCTGTGCTAGAGCCATAGATACATACTAGTGAGTAATCCCATATTATAACGACACGACCGTCCAATGTTTCTAAATTCTCAGGAGTTGTCTAATATTGATTGATTCATGATATCACTGAACTGTTCGTTAATTAACTTTTATTCTTTTGTTCTCTGTTCGACATCCGAAGATTCAAAACTACTCCTGGGGAATAAGAAGATTTGGAAAAGGAAAAAAACGATACCTAGACGTTTAAATGAAAAAACATATCATTGAATAATATAAATGTTAAAAACTAAAAGAAATTATGATTAGTTATTTCAATCAAATGTGAAGTATCTTCACAGTAGTTAATCCACAACATAACAAAACTAAATTATTAGGAGAACCTGTAAAATACACGGATAACACTGAGCTATCTGTCGTCCAGACACATAATGACTTAGGAGTCATCGTTAGCCAAGACCTAAAGACTACTACACACTGCCGTGCAATAGCCGCCAAAGCTTTTAGAACCTTATGGTCAATAAGTAGGGCTTTTAGTCATGTCGACACTAAAAAGTTTTTGACTTTTTATACAGTGTTCGTACGTCCTAAACTTCATTACTGCATACAAGCGGCTAGCCCCTGCTCAAAAAAAGACTTTGAGCTTCTGGAAAAGGTTCAGAGAACAGCAACTAATCTGATTCCCGGAATTGTGAAGCTTCCGTATGATGCTCGACTGGCCAAGCTAAACATTTTCCCGTTGTCATATCGCAGAACTAGAGGGGACTTGATTACAGTTTTCAAATTGCTTAGTGATAAATTTGCATTTGATATGCCTTCATTTTCCTTGTCTTCCAAAACAGAGAATTTACGAGAACACTCCAAAAAAGTCCACAAGCCCAGAACAAATTACTTGTCAGCTGACTATCGACTTTCCCATCGAATCACCAACGAGTGGAATTCGTTACCTCAGCACGTGATTGAGGCTTCATCCATCGACTCTTTCAAAAGAAAGTTGAATCAACTGAGGAATCACCATTGCCATTACTAACACAAGCCATCAAGCCTCCTGTCCTTTCCAAACTGAAACTGAAAATCTCATGATAATATCTGCATCGTTGTTTTTTTTTGAATAAAAAAACATCAAGAAAGAATACACTGATGCTCTTATGGTTACTAAACATCTACTATTGGCTAATAACATCATGATGTGAACATTTAATTACCACTAATTAACTAATCAATATGACAATTAATTGGATAAAATGGATATCAATATTTCAATTGAGCTATTACAATATCCATTCAACCAATCAATTAAAATAGACTGATCATAAAACTTGGACTTTTTTTAATTGTTTTATAATAAATCTCAGTAATAATTTTAAGATTGATAATAATAGAGACATTATTGATCGTTTACTTTTTTTGTTTGTTTGTTACTAACCCACTCGTATCATATGGGTAAATGGTAATGACAACATGATTTGGACTTTTCGTAGGATAATGATTAGTGATGAATCATTTTTCTTTAAAAAATACAGTAGAGAATAGTTTAATGTTCATTCATATCTATGCTATTGAAATTATCTTATTAAATAGAATAGAATATATTCATTCATCTATTATAGAATCAGTCATAGTTTGAATGTAGATATCTAGATATAGTTGGAAGAATCAAAAACATGTTATAACTTGACATGTTAACGTTCAGTTTTGGCTAACCCGATTAATATACAGATATAATATTAACATTTGTCCTTAACATGTTTCCATCTTACAAATAATAATAATAATAATAAACACATATGGTTTTATGAGAGATATGGTTGATTCAAAAAAGCACTTTCTGGTATACAAATAATAAGTTATACTTAGTTGCTAAATACAGTGAATTCGACTGACCTTGACAGATGGACAAACAACACAAATAAATAAATAAATTCATTTCTTAATTTAAAGCGCTTATTGGTCTTAGCATGAGATGTATATCAAAAAAAAATGTTTCAGTGAGTTTAGAATATGTTAGATGTGAGACAGTTTCCTTCAAATATGATTAGACGATAAGTTCTCTAAATATTTGCTAATTAATTGAAAGTAAACAGGTAAATTACAAGATACAGGATCAATGGTCTGAAATGAAGATTCTGTCTGTAAGACCTGAAGGTACTGAATTCGACCTCTTTTAGAAGGTTGTGTATATGCACGGCCACTGAGAAGTTTTATATCAAGAAGAAACGTCTATCCAGTGCTTCCTGTTTATTTTAGTAATTGATTAATTAATATCAGTTTGTAATATTCAAAAATCTTCAGAGTCTTATATAAAGGATTATTTTTAATCATAACGACAGTATCGTTATTGATGTAGTTGTTGGTATATACTTTGGATGGGTTATATACATTAGTGAAGAACCATATTATAAATATACGTCAATGACTATTGATTACACTGATTATTTATCAATGGAATAAACTATTCACTTTGTACTATACCAATACGTATTAATATTATCGAGTGTTTAACATTCATTACTAACGATTACAGTAGTGTCAACAATTGGATGATGTACCAACAAAGCAAACCAATCTATTTGCAGCTTTTTCCCTAAATGACTACTTTCATTGGTACCCACTATGGTTGCTCATTTTTTCTATCCTTGGTTAAATTTTTGCTCGATACCTACTTTTAAAGATAAGAATTTTGTAGTTTGACATTTAGGGGTTTGATCATATATCTGAAAAAACAGTTATCGACCCAGAGTGTACAGATAACATAGATCAGTTTCGAGATGATGCTAACTGAATACAGGTACTTGCGAACGCTTTAAGTGATAATGAAAAAGTATGCTTGGAATATGTGTCGGTTTCTTTTTTAAACGGAATAGATTTTTTTTCAAAGCATCCCAGTGAACAGTCTAAAGATATATGTTATAATTTTGCATTTTTCAATACGACTCATGCTCCCTTCGCGCAAGTTCCCCCTAACATTTGTATTATTTCATTTCAGCTATTCATTACTAAAAGTTATTTGACCATATAAAGTTGGTGAGGATAAAGCTTCTCGTTTTCTATAACTTAGGCTTTCGATAACACAACAAATAATAAATTCTCATATTTGCAAAATTACGAATAAATAATACATTTTATAAGGCTAACACATTTTAAATATACAACAGAAGTGAGTTTTAACTCTGTACATTTAAGATATTGATGCCTCAATGGTACCAAGTTAAACTGAAGTGTCATAGAGTGCATATATACTCCTATCATTTATCAATTGTTTGATAAGTCTTTATATGGATGACTGTATAGACATCACTATTGATAATCATAACGTTTTCTGTGTATATCAATATTTTACAATACTGTAAAAATTCCATATTCTTAATTCATAACATAAAGATGCCGACTCAGTGGTCTAACTGGTTAAGCGCCTGGCTCGAGACTGATACGTCCTGGGTTCAAATTTCACTGGGGAGGGGCGGTATCTTGGATGCGCACTGCTGAGGAGTCCCATAATAAGACGAATCGGCCGTCCAATGTTTACAGGTTATCCATGAAAATTTTCAATAATCATTATAACCATTATGAACAGATTGTAAAAACTAAAAAAAATAGGCCAATATCTGACATCCTTAATTTATCACTATCTAATAAGATTAAGGATGATCAATCATATCACAGAAAAATAATCAGGGCTTCATTTACACATGTTTCATCAATGATTGGTTTAAAAGTTGACTGTCCCACCTCCATAAACTATAATTCAATTAACCAATAAATTTAGTCGATTAGATTACAAACTATAAAAAAGAATGTTATTTGATGTTTATTAGTCCGCTTTAATAACCAATCATAGTATAGGTATGTGAGGTCTCTAAATTTTGATTGGTCGAACGGCCGTTAGAAGTATGTTAGGCCAACCGAAAATATCGAATCTAAAAAGGATTGTATATAGAATGCTTGTTTATAATCTGTCTACCTTTTAACCACATAATCATCATATAGAAGGCCTTGAAATTTATTTATTTTTTCATTCTCTACCCCTAAATAAATTTTATATCCACCCCCATTTTTTTTTATTAATTTAGACAGTTTGACAGGTCATTACACAAGCACAGATATTCAATTCACTAGTATTCAATGCGATAAATTTCTGACAAAATTTTTGACAGTTTGACGGCATTACCAGATAAACTAGCCTAATTTATCTCGTCAAGAATACTGCGTGACTTACTCTGGTGTGTGAAAAAATTATTTCTAAGAAGTCCAGTGATGATATGAGCAATTTTATATGGCCTTCAAGTTGACAGATTTATCTATCAAATTATAATAATAATAATAATTAAAAAAATCGTCGAAATAATAATAATCGCCATAGAAAACAACAACAACAAAAGAGAATATCCTGTTTCAACATTATCCATTAAAACAATATCATTATTGATCGATTGCCCAAAATTGATTGATAATCATTAGTTGTGACGCACATTATTCGAATTTCAACGCACAAATAACTACAGACATACATAAATAGATAGATATATATAGATATTTCCCATTTCATTGATCGATTAATTGTTCTACAGGAAATACAATATCAAATCTTATTCATTGGAACTTTTCAAATTCATTGGATTATTATTGTATCTCCTTATGAAGAGATCAACTTGAATTGATCCATTCAACGTATTGTGGAATATGAAATTGATACACAAATCAATATTAATGGATTTCTTTTTAAAAACTGACTATATTTAAACGTGTAAAGATACATTATTGATTTCGGATTAATAGATATATTTTTGTGGTGTTCAGTATTCTCACTATATACCATCGTCTTTTAAATATTAAAACAAAATAATATTGAGTATCATACATTAACTGTGGATTTAATTTATTCTAACATCTGAAAAGTAACATCTACGCACGAGTACAATAATGAATTCGAGTAATAACAATAATAATAGTAATAATAGTAAACCTCGGCAGGTAAGTAAAAATTTTTTTATATTCTACTTGTTATTCGTTGTGTTGAATCAGTGAAGTTTATTCAACTAGTCAGTCAGTTTTAATAATTAGGCTATCATATAACATTAGGTTGATTTCAAAGAAATTGGACTAAGTTGAAAATGACCAATACATATTAAGTCATATTACTGTTTAAGGCTTTATGCTTGCTTTCCTCCTCCTCCTCTCTCTCTCTCTTTCTCAAAATGTTGTGTACCCTGAGTAAATGATTTATCACTATGATTATTCATTATTCATTCAAATCACTCTCAACTATAACCAGCTAATTAATTTTATTTCATGGAAAAATTATACACGAAAACATAATCAGTTTATTCATGTTATGAGTACATAGGAAAATAGAGATATCCATAGTTTAAATGTTAATTATTTACCTCAGTTCATTAGTGATTAATCGTTTAGAATTGATAATTGAACTGATATTCAATTTTAACTACCGATACTGATTTACATCACTTATTATTGACTATTTAAAAGAAAACTTTCAATGTTATTTGTTTACTAATTTCTTGAGAGATACTCAAATCGAAATTGCTTTATGTAATACTATACAAAATGACTAATCATTTGGAAATTCTTGTTGTAAAATATATGTATATAGTATATTTAATTAGATATTAGTCAATGCAATACTACAGTGAAACTGTCTATCGTATAATTAGTGTTTTATTCAAAGAAAACTAATCTACAGTATGTATGTGATGAACAAAAACTCAGGTGGAGATAAAATTTTCGTAAAATGTGAAAACCATACATTAAATAATTCATTTGCACATCTTCTATCATTTGTCTTCTATATCTTTTATGACTCTTTCAATTTCTTTCTGTTTTCTTCAGTTCAATCTTCTCAAACTTCTTTTGACAAACATTCCACGTCCAATTTGTGTTACATACTATTTATATCGACATACATAAGTAGTATACATCATACATGCACCCTTAATCTAGTATAATCACAAAAATCAATTAAATTAATTATAATCGTAATTTTTATCAAAAACCGAAAATGAGGGAATATTTCACTGATAATTAAGTAAATGCTCATCAGAAATTTGTTCAGTCGAATTCGATAAGGATTGATGATTTTTACTGATTGTAATCATCTCAGTTTTATATGGTGTTAGTTATTGCACGAGGGTCAAACCAAAACGTGGCATCAATCCTTGAAGTCACTAACTTCTAATCTTAGCCATGTTGATAGATGTAGACTACTTGGGGTCCGTGTGACTATCGTAACCAATGGTTGGAGATTCTGGGTTATATGGTGTAGGTGTATACACTCTCTATCTTCCCTCAAACCGTGAGAATAAAATCACTGCATACCTTCCTTTCTACAAACTAATTATTTTCCCTTGTATCATATTCTTATTTCCAATCTTTTTTTAAAAATATATCACTACCATTGAATTAACTGGTTCTATGAATTTGTTGTTTATGTTGTATTAATGAGGTATGGTAACTTGTACCGATACATATATGTGCCTGATCCTGCGTTATAGATGACTGACTGAACTTTTAAAACAGTTAAATCAGTGGCTATATAGAGTACACGTTTTGCACATTACTATTTTACATCTAAGTATGCAGCATAGACCACTAACCAGAAATCTATAAACAACTTTTTCCTGGGCTATCTTTCACATTTGTTGCCAAGTCCTATTCATTCTTTTGATACCTGACTCCGATTCCCAGCGCCATTTGTTCTGTTCTACCGTTTTTACGTTTTCGTATAGGTTTACTTATTTTGGTTTAAGGGAACATGTTTCATTATGACTGAAATATAAGTACACCAGTTTACATTTATACTTGCATATAACAGATACTGTAATGAAATAGAATAATGTTGTATAGTTTACATTCAGTCATTAAAAATTGAACAATTTAGCTTGGTTAGATCACTCTAAATATGTATATTTAGACTTTACCGTTGTCATGTATACAATTACAGGGCTTTTAAGCAAGAAATACAATTTGGAATATTTAATTGTGCTTTTATTTGGTGAAGTTAGACCGTGACAAACAGTGTTTCATTTTATTTTAGAACTCGTCTTTCGAATTTATGTGTTATATCTCAGTATTGATGTTCACACTGAAACTCGAATTCCAAGAAATCTTAACTAATCATCTATATTTGTTTGTATTGATTGTAAAGATCATACGAATTTCTTTCTACTAATATTTTACTAGTAGTCTAATTAATACCCCATTTAATTATTTCAATATATATTTTACTTATTTAAACACATAAACATTGGTGCAAGAAGGCACCAAATACATGCGCCATATGTGTGAGGGCGTCCAGACCGAAGCAGGTGGTTTTCTTAACAGGCCACTCTCCAAGCCTTCGACCCTCGGGTCTAACCCACAAGGTGATGGAGCAACATTAGGTGATGCAGTCACATGGTAGCCGGTGATCAACAATAGGTTCATACATAAATTCCTGAAGCCATGTGCACCATTGGTTCAGAATCAGGGTTTTCAAACTCCTTTAGGTGTATCCTCCGTATCCACCAATTCTGTTAAAGCGCCTGATATTCGCTTTTCGTCCTCTCACTTTGTAAAGAACATCCCCTCCGTGAGAAGGCAGTGAGTAGGACCTCCCTGACAGTGGCTGTATACGTATGACCATTTATAACATTTTGAAAGGGATAGCGAACTCTTCCCACGCTCGTCCGTACCAAGGAATTTAGGGGTCATGATCAGTCTCATATTTGCATATATGCACCCTGTGCGGATTGCCTCGATATTGCCTTCATTCAAAAGTATTATGAGCAGAGATGGTTGGTGGCTAGCAATGAAATCCAGGACGCGCGTTTCGTCTTATTTGGAACTCGTCAGCTAGATGTACCTGCATACCAGAGTTGATGTTCACTCTGGCACTCAAAACCGGTACCGTTCTCTTCAGACGCCATCTCGTTATCCATTTATAGTTTATCTTTAATCACTGAATTTTTGATAGTAAGCCACGTTATTTATAACAGTTAGTCACATTGTTTTAACACATTCGTCATCAACAGTTTTCATTGTTTTTATACAATAACAATCATTAAAATTAATTATCCCACATTCTTTTGAATAATTAAGACATAATTTACATTTTGAAGGGCTGAAAAAATAACTGTCATCCTCTCTCAATTTATATTACTAATGATTTGGTTAATGTAATAGTCTTTAAGTAGAAATGTTTAAGTTAATACTTATGGTTCTTCCAGATCTTCACATGATCATGAACTGTATGAAATTAATTTTAATAAGACACCGATGTATAAATCTTTTACTGGCTTATTCTAAAGTACTATTTCTTTTATTATACTAACACCATGACCTTATTACTCGTTTGTCTGATTTAAGTAGATTATTAGCTTTGTTACTTTTTTTCTTAATTTACTTATATGAAGAGTTTACAACTTTGGTTGATAAGTAACGGTACAAAACCGTGTATTATTTTTTGTGAGTAACTAACCCATTAATTGATTGAGTAATCCTTATGAAAAAAGGCATACCTTAAAGATAAATATACAAATTTGTACAGATTATGTACGTTCATAAGTTATATAACTAGATCATGGAGATTGACTAGAAATATTTTTATTTTCTCATATGACCCAAATTACTTAATTACTTATTTACGCCTGTTACAACTCGTCGAGGAGCATAGGTCATCTATCAGCATTCTTCATCTAACTCTGTCCTGGAAAATCCTTTCCAGTTGCTATTCATCCTTTTCATTTCCTCTTCCGATTCTCGACGTATCGTGTATTTTTGGTCCTCCTCTTTATCGTTTCCTTTCAGGAATACAAGTTAGCGCTTGCCTCGTGATCCCGTCTGATGATTTCGTCAATGTGTGTTTTATCCACCTTAATCTTCTCTTCCTAATTTCCTCTTCAGATGAAAGCTGGTTTGTTCTCGCCCATAGTAGGCTGTTGCTGATGATATCCGGTTAACGGACATTGAGTATCTTGAGTAGACAACTGTTTATAAATAATTGTACATTTTTGTTGACGGTTATGGTATTTGTCCACGTTTCATCTCCCTGTACAATAGAGTTATCTTGACGTTCATATTGAATATTCTGACTTTTGTGTTGTTTAACAGACAGTTGTTTTAAGTTCAATATATTCTTCAACTGATGCTGCTGCTCAGATTGATGAAAGTTTCCACCTCTTCCAGAGCTTCTCTATGACTCAAATTGACAGTGGATGAATTCTTGGATGAATGCCATAATTTAATATGACCACCATTATCCTTCTTTCATTCTATCTGTATGTTAATCATCAAGATGTTTTCAGTCCTATAAAAGGATCATAGATACATTGTTAAGTGATCTGACTTATAATCAGTTACGATGAAGCATGTTCATTCACTTATTGTTTTTTAGATCAATATACACTTCGTTCTATCTACACGAATCATTTTGTTATTATTACTAACAATACTATTACTAATGTGGTATTCATCTTCCTTTGGTAATGTATTCTGGCTATTTGGCCCTTTATATGTTTAATGATTGTAGCTGTGCATGATAATAATAATAATAAAGAATAAAGAATACCGTAGATTGTTTGTTTATTATTTCAATGTAATCGATTTCTTTTAATGAGGATATTAAAGTAAATATGTTAATATAAATGGTATCTCTCCTAAGCAATATGTATAGACATGCATATACTACTATTGAAACTACTTATATAAGCATAATTATCATTTAAATAAAGTTGTGTATGTCACACCTGTTCATCATCCAATTATAATGTGTACCAAACACACATATGTGTTTATATTATTATATTTGTTGAACTTTACTATTCTCATCTTTGTTATTATCTACGTTGCTGAGTCCATTTCCAATATGAAAAGATCAACATTATATTCCATTATTCACTTTATTATTCAAACCTTCTTATTTATTTCCTCTAAGTGATACTGTTTTTCTAATATCTTATCCATACTCAAGCATACAC